GGGGGAAAAGAGAGTGGATAGACCTCATGGATGAATAGATGTATGGATAAATAGATTGATATATAGATGGATGTATATGAATGGATAGAGTGAGTGGATAAGCACATGAGACAGGGTGCTTGGATAAGCGTGAGAGAGAGAGAGAGAGAGAGAGAGAGAGAGTAGTTGGGTATTTAGGATATACCGTGAATGGGACAATAATCCTATCTTCTGGAACTTATGACAAGTTCGTATTATATGTATTAAAAACTTGGTATAATGACTGGTATTATCTACTTAGTATAATGACTGGTATTATTAACTTAGTATAATGACTGGTATTATTAACTAAATATGTTGACTGGTATTATTAACTTGCCTGACGACTAACATTCACTAAGACCTTCATGCGAGTCGTGGGACTAACACGTGTCTCTCCACAGGAGGGATCGAATGGTGTTGGGGCGGAGCTCGCAGCCTCGCCACGACGACAGGTGGCAGGACCCTCCAGGGCCCGGGACCCCCCGAGTATGGTCGTCCAGGGAGACTTCCGCAAGGTGGGTATCTAACACGCTTCTCTGTTGTCTTCTATTTGTGGTTTCCGCAAGGTGTGTGTCTTATACGCTTCTCTGTTGTCTTCTATTTGTGGTTTCCGCAAGGTGTGTGTCTTATACGCTTCTCTGTTGTCTTCTATTTGTGGTTTCAGCAAGGTGGGTGTCTAATACGCTTCTCTGTTGTCTTCTATTTGTGGTTTCAGCAAGGTGGGTGTCTAATACGCTTCTCTGTTGTCTTCTATTTGTGGTTTCAGCAAGGTGGGTATCTAATACGCTTCTCTGTTGTCTTCTATTTGTGGTTTCAGCAAGGTGGGTATCTAACACGCTTCTCTGTTGTCTTCTATTTGTGGCTTCTGCAAGGTGGATAGTCCTGAAGTCTTCTGTTTGTTGACTTCTTGAAGCGGAAGCACTTGCAGCGTTGTGGAACATGCTCGGTCTAAGGCCAGGACTGAAGGAGAGGTCGGCTTAGTTTTGGAATGATGTTTGTCGCACGGTGTTGAACATTCTCCAAAGCAAATGTCTTTCTGAAGATGATATTTGTACCGTTGAATACGTATCTTAATTTTTCCTTTGAAGTCAAAGGTTCGCTTAAGTATTCTTAGGGATTATTTGCCTTTTTTTTTTTACTGCAGTTCCCACTTGTACAGCTTTCAATGACGTGAATTCTAACTCCAAATTATTTTTCTTCAATCTGCTTCAAGGTAATGTTGTTCAGTTGATAGTTGTGATGTACATTGTTATGCCCCACATACAATGTTTTGCATTTACCAATATTAAAAACATCTACCAGTCTTCCGACCATTTGTGGAGTTCATGTAGATCTTTGTGAGGCCTCAACATAATTTTAATTCATTACTTTACCACATAGCTTAGCGTCATCAGCAAATTTGATGATGTGGTTTATAATATTCTCGTCTACGTCATTGACGTAGATGACAATAAAGGGTTGGCCTGAACTGGACTCTTGCGGTACCCTCATTCACCACATTCCTCAAGTCAGATTCTTTTCAATTTATGACGACCTTTTGCTTTCCTTATCTTGACCATTTAATCATTTTAGTATTTTACCATTTATTCCATCTCGCTTGTACTTCCGAGGACTTTCCTCGGAAGTCCTTTGTCTGAATAGCTGTTTATCTTCTCTACAAATGTGAGCAGGATTGTAAGGCAGGATCTATTTTGACCAAAAGTAAGTTACGTGGGTATTATATTGAGCACTGTGAGATAACAAATGCTTCCTTCCTTAAGATTCTCTCCGAGACCTTGCAGGTATGTGAGGTTAGGATGATCGGACGGAAGTTTTCTTCGGAACTTTTTCTGACTTTTTTTGAAAATAGATTTGGCATTTGCATATTTCCAATCTAAAGGAACTATCCTTTGGTCCAAAGATTTTCTGAAAAGGAGTTCGAGTGGTAGACGTAGTTCATCTGCCAGTTCCTTTACGGCTCTGAATAGAATTCCGGCCACACCTGAGAGTGTGCGTGTGTATTAACGTCTCTGTTTTTGTGTGTGCGTGTGTATTAACGTCTCTGTTTTTGTGTGTGCGTGTGTATTAACGTCTCTGTTTTTGTGTGTGCGTGTGTATAAACGTCTCTGTTTTTGTGTGTGCGTGTGTATTAACGTCTCTGTTTTTGTGTGTGCGTGTGTATTAACGTCTCTATTTTTGTGTGTGCGTGTGTATAAACGTCTCTATTTTTGTGTGTGCGTGTGTATAAACGTCTCTGTTTTTGTGTGTGCGTGTGTATTAACGTCTCTGTTTTTGTGTGTGCGTGTGTATTAACGTCTCTGTTTTTTGTGTGTGGGTGTGTATAAACGTCTCTGTTTTTGTGTGTGCGTGTGTATTAACGTCTCTGTTTTTTGTGGTGCGTGTGTATAAACGTCTCTGTGTTTTGTGTGTGCGTGTGTATAAACGTTCTCTGTTTTTGTGTGTGCGTGTGTATTAACGTCTCTGTTTTTTGTGTGTGCGTGTGTATTAACGTCTGTTTTTGTTGTGTGCGTGTGTATTAACGTCTCTGTTTTTGTGTGTGCGTGTGTATAAACGTCTCTGTTTTTGTGTGTGCGTGTGTATTAAACGTCTCTGTTTTTGTGTGTGCGTTGTATAACGTCTCTGTTTTTGTGTGTGCGTGTGTATTAACGTCTCTGTTTTTTGTGTGTGCGTGTGTATAAACGTCTCTGTTTTTGTTTGTGCGTGTGTATTAACGTCTCTGTTTTTTGTTTGTGCGAGTGTATAAACGTCTCTGTTTTTGTGTGTGCGTGTGTATTAACGTCTCTGTTTTTGTTTGTGCGTGTGTATTAACGTCTCTGTTTTTGTGTTGTGCGAGTGTATTAACCGTCTCTGTTTTTGTGTGTGCGTGTGTATTAACGTCTCTGTTTTTGTGTGTGCGTGTGTATTAACGTCTCTGTTTTTGTGTGTGCGTGTGTATTAACGTCTCTGTTTTTGTGTGTGCGTGTGTATTAACGTCTCTGTTTTTGTGTGTGCGTGAGCATATTTAATTACCTGTTTGACGTCAATATAAGCTTAGTGGTGCAGCTTAAGTTTGTGAAGACGAGAAAAGAAGCCAATTGAAAATTTGAGTTTGTCCATTTTCTCCCTGTCTATGTCCCACGTTGCCGGAATATCCCAAAATTCATTCACTTCCTCTGCTTCAAATATTTGCGCGAGTATTGTGATTTCTCGACTCTCTAGTGTGAACACTGATGTTCACACTTCACAGAGTGTTCACACATGTTCACAGAGACACACGTCTCTGTTTTTGTGTGTGCGTGTGTAATAAACGTCTGTGTTTGTGTGTGTGTGTGTTGTGTGAACGCCTGTGTTTTTGATGTAAGCTATTCCTTCAAGAGTGTTGGTCGCCCTTTCTTCGTCTGCCCTATAACTTGGTCGGTCTTACCTTCTAAGCGCCCTACCGAGTCGTGTATCTTGGGTTTTACTTCTCATATAGGCATGAATGGGAAGATATAAGTAAATGGCATAAAATGACTTTGAATCTTCTTTACGATTAAGAAAGTTAATGTTATGTAGTTTCTTTTGGCTCGTCTGATTGGCTGGGTGGGTGAGTTTAATGCCCTGCTCTATATCTCTGATTGGCTGGGTGGGTGAGTTTAATGCCCTGCTCTATATCTCTGATTGGCTGGGTGGGTGAGTTTAATGCCCTGCTCTATATCTCTGATTGGCTGGGTGGGTGAGTTTAATGCCCTGCTCTATATCTCTGATTGGCTGGGTGGGTGAGTTTAATGCCCTGCTCTATATCTCTGATTGGCTGGGTGGGTGAGTTTAATGCCCTGCTCTATATCTCTGATTGCTGGGTGGGTGATTTTTAATGTCCTGCTCTATATCTCTGATTGGCTGGGTGGGTGAGTTGAATGCCCTGCTCTATATCTCTGATTGGCTGGGTTGGGTGAGTTTAATGCCCTGCTCTATATCTCTGATTGGCTGGGTGGGTGAGTTTAATGCCCTGCTCTATATCTCTGATTGGCTGGGTTGGGTGAGTTTAATGCCCTGCTCTATATCTCTGATTGGCTGGTGGGTGAGTTTAATGCCCTGCTCTATATCTCTGATTGGCTGGGTGGGTGAGTTTAATGCCCTGCTCTATATCTCGGATTGGCTGGGTGGGTGATTTAATGCCCTGCTCTATATCTCTGCTTGGCTGGGTGGGTGAGTTTAATGTGCCCTGCTCTATATCTCTGATTGGCTGGGTGGGTGAGTTTAATGCCCTGCTCTATATCTCTGATTGGCTGGGTGGGTGAGTTTAATGCCCTGCTCTATATCTCTGATTGGCTGGGTGGGTGAGTTTAATGCCCTGCTCTATATCTCTGATTGGCTGGGTGGGTGAGTTTAATGCCCTGCTCTATATCTCTGATTGGCTGGGTGGGTGAGTTTAATGCCCTGCTCTATATCTCTGATTGGCTGGGTGGGTGAGTTTAATGCCCTGCTCTATATCTCTGATTGGCTGGGTGGGTGAGTTTAATGCCCTGCTCTATATCTCTGATTGGCTGGGTGGGTGAGTTTAATGCCCTGCTCTATATCTCTGATTGGCTGGGTGGGTGAGTTTAATGTCCTGCTCTATATCTCTGATTGGCTTGGTGGGTGAGTTTAATGCCCTGCTCTATATCTCTGATTGGCTGGGGTGGGTGAGTTTAATGCCCTGCTCTATATCTCTGATTGGCTGGGTGGGTGAGTTTAATGCCCTGCTCTATATCTCTGATTGGCTGGGTGGGTGAGTTTAATGCCCTGCTCTATATCTCTGATTGGCTGGGTGGGTGAGTTTAATGCCCTGCTCTATATCTCTGATTGGCTGGGTGGGTGAGTTTAATGCCCTGCTCTATATCTCTGATTGGCTGGGTGGGTGAGTTTAATGCCCTGCTCTATATCTCTGATTGGCTGGGTGGGTGAGTTTAATGCCCTGCTCTATATCTCATACTCCAAGTTGTTCTTTGTGGAGTTAAAACTTCTTTAGAGATTTTGGTTGGCTATTAGACTGTTTTAATTTTTATTATCTGTGTCAATTATCAAATTCTCTGAACATATTTAGTAGAGGCAGCGTTGTTAACTGACTGGAATTTCTCAGTGGTAATTGTACAGTATATTACTGTACTCACCTAGTTGTACTCATCTAGTTGTGCTTGTGGGGGTTGAGCTCTGGCTCTTTGGTCCCGCCTCTCAACTGTCAATCAACAGGTGTACAGGTTCCTGAGCCTATTGGGCTCTATCATATCTACACTTGAAACTGTGTATGGAGTCAGCCTCCACCACATCACTGCCTAATGCATTCCATTTGTCAACCACTCTGACACTAAAACATGTAACACTGTAACACTGTAACATGCTCGGAGTGCAATGTCGTGGATAAGGCGCTCTCAGAGCTCCCGCTTTGCATGTAATGGGCAAGAAGACCTATTTCCAATCTCGCTGAATGCCAGACTCACTGAAGTTCATCCAGCTTATTATTTTATACATGATGAATAAGCGTTAGCTTGTCTTACGCAGTTTATTCATTGGCGAT